CAAAAGTCGGGTTCTAAACTCTCAATTCCCAACCCATCGTCACATAGATCAAATAAACAAATGAAACCTGCAAACTATAACAACGTTCCACAATTAGTGGGGAGCAACTAGCAGTTCTCCCTCAAATCAAAAATAGAAGATTTCAGACTTAGATTAATAGAAAGAAACCACAACCACAATTAACTTGAAAACCCAAAAGAAATCACTTAAAACCATCAAACCACACAAACTATGAAATATTTCATAATCAACTTAAAACGGGAAATCGATATTAAATCACTTAATTTTAATCATAATTTATATAAACTTCAAAATAAGTAATAATTTCATAGTTTCAATACTTCAATCTCAAAACATTCAAAACAGTAGAACTGGCACGCAGGGATCGCTAGTGGCCTCGCAATCCACTTCCTAAGGTTTGTTAGGACGAACCCCCGATCATCTCGCAGAGACCGTGTCTAAGATTGGCTAAACTCCCGGCTATGGGTAGATTCCAATCGGCCTCACATTACCCCCAGACGACAACAATTAACCTAAGTTGAGCTACCTAAGACTCGCAATCAAGGTAGTTAGCATGTTCATTAACCATCGGGAAGCAACTCGATCTCACACCCGACTATATACGGCCCCACACACAATTCAAAATCAATTGAAATATTTAATATAATATATTTCACTTAGAAATCTGCAGAGAAGCATAAATGGTCTTATACTCAATTAAAATTGCATATTAAATCATTTTTCTTAAATTCAATTAAAACTCCATTTCAAAACACACTTCGGCTTAATAAACCACAAAAGGTATCATCTGAGTACGAGAATATAATTAATGATCAGAATTAACAATTAACTGCATTCACAACTCTTGGCGAAGTAATGCTAAAGACAATGTTATTCTTCTCTAAAGCATTACGACGTCGACAATACAATTACAACTCACACATATTCAATCACACATCGAAATATTTTACTTTAGGGGTTTATAATACCCAAAAATTCACATATGATGACTTATTTAAAATGTAATTTCAACTAGTATATAATACTTACAATAAAAATTCCATAAATTCATTCAATTAAACCAAAAATCCAAACGACCATTTCACAAAACAACCAAAATGGGACAACAACATATCAGTCCAAAAATCATCATAAAAACCCAACCAAACATGCTTCAAATGAGAAATAAAAATTAGAGCACATACATATACTCAATAGACATCATATAAAACCATTTCGGGGTTAAAATTCATTACTTAACAGGCTCAAACAAAAACACAAACACATCAGCCCCAAGTTTCGTTACAGCAGCACCATTCACACAAATCACCCGCAAAACCCACCTTAAACATGAAACTAAGCTTAGCCCATTATGGTATACACTCTAAAAACATTATAGGTCAAGATAGGCACAAGATTAGGCTTAAAAATTAGGCAACACATCACTTTAATTCACTCATTTCACACAGTTCACAACAGACCTGGCAGCAACACCTCTTCTTAGTTTTAGGCCATTAAAACTAATTAAACTTGATTGGAATCGTGCAAAATTAATTAGGTGATATCCTAACATGATACTAATTTATTTTGGGCAAGAAAACCAATCAAACTAATCAGATTTATGACCTCAAACTCACGCATAACATGCTGTAACTTCAGTCGCGGATTTCGGTTTCCCATGCTCAATAACAAGTCCAAAACATGTCCATAATCAAGGTTTAACACATGAAACTTACACCTAACATTCCCTAATATGCTACTACACATTAACCAGCAAGAATAAGCCTAAGAAAATAGGTTAAACATGCCTCACAACCACAACAAAACTCATGACAGGTATGTAACGTTTCAGCAGTGCCTATGGTGCATTTTGAGCCTCAAAACCATGTATAAACTCATTAAAAACATCATTCAAAGATCATACAACATCAAGGCTTTGATATCAATCAAGTTAGGGCACATAAACATGGATTAAAATCACCAATTCAAGCTCTACACTTACACAAATTACAGCAGCCACAAAGTGAATGAAAATCAGAAAATAAACCTAATCCTAGCCATGTTTCTACCTATCAATTCAACCTTAAAACCCAATAGTTCTAACCCAAGGGAGTAAAGCTAGTTACCTTGATGTATAGGCCACCAAAATCAGAAGAAAAGGAGAGCAACACCACGCACAAACAGCAGCAACAAGACGCACAAACGCCCACCCAAGCAGCCTTGTTCTTGCTTCGTTTTTATGTTGTTTTAGAGGAGCGATGGAGCACGATTTTTGAAGAGATTATGACAGCAAATTAGGCTTTGATTTCCACCTTGAATCCCATGAAAAATATGGGGAGAAGAGGAGTGAGTTGCTGCATCTTTTGGTGGAGAAAAACTGATGACTTTTGGCCTTATTGTACGTGAAAGGGGAAGGGAAAGTGAAAGGTTTTGTGCAGCATTAGTTGGTGATTGAATGATAATGATAGAGGTATGAATAGGGGGGTTACTAGAGCAAAGAAGTGCAGCAATAATCCCCCTAGGCAGCCTTGTGAAGAGAGTGGAAGTTGGGCATAAAGAGGCCTCCATGCAACACTAGATTGGTTTACATAATGGGCTAATTAAGTGATTACTTTAGGCTTCTAATTAAGGATTGGCTTAACTAATCATCAAATTAACCAAGTGGCTAATGGTAAGGTAGTATAAACCCGATCCATAAACAATAATCTAATTGGCCCGAAACTAGACTTGGAAAAGAAAGTGGCGAAAAGCGAGTTGAAAATGCGTTTTATAAAATGATATAATAATTTTCATTATTGAAACTTAAACAATAATATCAATAATAATTAAATAGTAATAATGAAAACAATAATTTAAATCAAAATACAAAAATATATATAAAGTTCATATTTACAGAAAAGCGACCTAAAAAGACGAAATGCAAACCAATAATATTATTTACTTATAATGACCTAATTAATAAAAGGACATTATAATGAGTTTTATAAATATAAATTAAAGAATAGTTTATAAACAATATCAATTTGATAAACGAGTTGAAGGAATCACCCATTTCAACTTTATTTATCGATATTGATATGATTGAATGTAAAACGTCTTAAAACCTTAAAATCATTTCATACCTATCAAATTGGCACTCCGGTCAAGGAATCACCCATGATGACTCGTATCAATTGCAATAGGCAAAATATCAAAATTACATATAATGTAAGTGTAACACTTACTGAATTGACGCTTAAGCTTAACCTTAAGGAATCACCCTTTAATGCTAATATCAATTCAGAGAAGTCAAATATAGTTGAAATGATTAAAATTCAATATAAAACCTTTTAAATAATAACTTTCAATCTTTTCGTCAAAATATTATAATTAAGTTTACAACCCATAAATCAAAATAAAGGTTTTTATAATTAAATTAACATTTCAATTTAGAAATTGAGATTTAAATTAGAAATTAGGTTTATAGGTTGAAATGCACATAAAATAATGATTCGAAAATACGGGGTGTTACAGAAGCATTTTCTTTTCACAAGGTCATCTTTCTTGTGGTAGAACAAGACATCAAATACATTGAAGGCAACAACCTCAATGTGTTATACCCAAGCTAAGTTTGGTCTAGTGAAAAGAAAAGCACCTTCCAATCATGAGGTTGGAGGTTCAATCCCCACTAGTGACAATTTGGGGGGCGAGATTCCCTTACCCTTCCCCTACTCTCCCAAAATGTCTAGCCTGCTAACCCGAGCCGAGTTGACCCATGAGGGATTCCGGCCCGGGCCCTTCATCTAACCTTTAATAAAAAATAAAAAAAACAACCTCATTGTTATGCTTGGCTAAAAGTTTTTGGGTAGCCCTATAACACTATAATTATATATATTATTGCAACATTCGTCTTCTTCTCAACAATTTATAGTAGGAAAATTGGATTAAAATAATACCAACTATTAACTGTGTGTGCAAAATAATACGAACTCAATTATTTGCTTTTAATGGTACCACCTTTTGTACTATATGTGCAAAATAGTACGCCGGTCACCGAAAAAGTTATTCGAGGAATATTTCATTTATATTTAATATTTTATTATTTTTTTTTATTATTTATATGTTTTCTTTTCAAAATACATATTATGTAACAATTTCCTTTATAATCCAAATTAATAACACCCCACCCCTTTTTTTTTTTTTTTTTTGAATTGTCAATGTGTATTAAAATATTTTTTTTTTTCAAAATACTTGTAGTAATTTCTACTATCACGCAATAGTAAATAGGGTGTTTAAATGCATTATTTTGTTGATATAATTTTTTATTTTTTTTGATATAATTTTGTTGATATAATTAGTTTCAAAAAAGTTTAAAAAATCCAAAAAATCCCCACATTAGAAATTTTGAAACTAATTATATCAAAAAAATAATGCATTTAATTACCATATTTACTATAGTGTGGTAGTAGAAATTACTAGCGGTATTTTGAAAATAAATATTTAAATACATATTGATGACAATTAAAAAAAAAAAGAAAAAAAAGCCTAACAAAGCGGTGGGGCATTATTAATTTGGATTGTATTGTAAAGAAAATTGTTAACATAATACAAGTATGTATTTTGAAAAGAAAACAAAAATTAACAAAAAAATAATAATAAAAAATATAGACGGAATATTCCTCGTCATTCTTTTCTGGTGACCGGTGTACTATTTTGCACATATGGTACAAAAGGTGATACCGCTAATAGCAAATATTTAAGTTCTTATTATTTTGCACACACCGTTGATAGTTGATATTATTTTTAAGCCAATTTTGCTTTTTAGTATTGGAGTATTCAACACATCTATTGCGAGACAAATCGGATAGCTAACTTATTAGTCAATGTTGGTTGATTGGAGATAATATGGATTTAGTAATTCCCATAACTTCATAAGAAGCACTTGCATAGAAGTAGTAAGTATCCCAATGTGCATGGTGGCATGGAAGAGAGTTGTGAACTAGTTCCACTTCAACATCTCCCTTAAGATTAGTCCACTTCCCCAAAACTAAAATTCGTTAAACCTAGACTAGCTCCACTTAATAAAAATGGAAAGCAACTACTTACAAAGTTGTAAAACACCCCGTTAATAGTATTAAACTCATCTCCTTACTAAAAACAGAACAAATTACCTGTCTTTCATCTCTCCTTCACACGATTCTTTCCCACGGCTTCACGGCAAAACCCCCCCAAGGTCGTCGTCGAAATTTTCGCACCACCAGCACTGCCCAATCTTCCGTCGCAATTTCTCTCTCCTCTTGACGGAAAACACCGTCATCGTCGTTAACAGAGTGACAGAGGAGAGAGAAAGTGACAGAGAGTTCCATTGAAGAAATAAGATCATGCTCGCTCTTTTCGCATGGCTGATTTCCTTCTTTGTCGTCGTCGCCCTTCTTGTCGTCGTTGTTTACCAGGTTCCCTTTTTTCTCTCCTCTTTAATTCAATTTGAGTTTCGTAAACCCTTTTTGATTTTGGGAATCGCGTTTCTATTTTGTTTTAATTTTTTGATTAATTTGATTTTATTTAGTTATTGTGATCCTTTGTTTATTAATGGCAATAGCAAATTTGGGAATACAAGGTTTAGATTTTGAGAATTTTAATGGTATATTGGTTGAAGTTGCGTTATCTGATTTTGATTCATTGCCTGTTTAGAAATTTAGATGTTCATTTCAAGTTTTTGGGGTTAGAATTAGAATTCTAAGTTGGGAAAAGCGTTATATTTAGGATGTAGATAAGTGTGGGAATGCATACATTTTCATGGGTTCTAATTGAATTGAAACACTGTAAAATAGCTATGGATTTTGGGTGTGTAATTTGGTTAGATTGCTGATTAGGAGAAAGAAAGGTGATATGGAGTTACTTTATCAGGAGGCAACCAAAATTGGAAATGGTTGGGATAGTGGAAGATTGATGAATCGTGTATTCGTGTTAAATTTGGGATGATATATTTTGTTGATATAAACTATGGAAGTCTTGACAATTAGTGAGGGAATTCAGTTGACTTGGTATTGCTTGTTTCTTCAGTATATTTGGATATATCCTCACCGGGAATGCTTTATGTCGAGACTATGGTTTGATTGAGCTATTTGGGAGGAGTATCTTTGTTTAATAAAACGGGCAGTTTGGGGACTTTGCCGTGTTGTTTTCCTTTGCTTAAGGGTTGTTCATTTCGGGTTTGTGATGTGGAATTTGGACTTTTCTTGAGTATAATTGGAGAAAAGGTTTGGTTTTGATTAAATTGATTGATTTGATGGAAAATTAAAGATACTTGTCGACCGAAGTTACATACTGTGTGATTTAAGAAGTATAGAGATGGTGTATTGCTAGGTGAATTCTGAGTTGGTTCTGTAAGTAGATGGGTTTTTGAGATACTTATTAGTAAAAGCATTAAAAGATTACGATTTCGGTGGGGAATACTATTGGCTGTTGTATTGGAGAGTAAATGAATTTGATGGAAGAAATGCATGCTTTTTATTCTCGGTTTCGTTTGGATGTGTGGAATATAAGGGTGTAATCCATATCTCTTGGTCTGCCGCCCTTGTCATTCATCAACATGCCATTGTTTTACATTCTACATGCAAACAATCTCACACAATTTCTTATTGATCTTAGCTTCACTTGCATCATGTAAGTGACAAGTTACAGTTAGCTTTGAACCTCATTTTTTATTTTACAGACAACTTATTCTTGCTTGAGGTAGATCATCTGCTGAATTTCTCACCGGGTCAAGAGTGTTGTTGATCCATATCATACTTGTTGAATTTAAATCTCCTCATCCCATTGAAAGGAAAATTTACTATCTTGCTAAATAAGTCTTCTCTAACCTTTATATGGAATCAATTAACTAATTTGCATCGAAGTGTTCTATTAGTGCTGAACTATTTAATTTTACTTTAAAGATCTATGAGATTTGCTAAATGACAACTTGTTCTTACTAAGACATATCTTTCTCTTGAGAATCAAGCTCTTGAAGATAAAAGATTGAATTGAGTCTTGAAGGTAGAAGATTTTGGTCATGGCATTATCTTATATTCTTGTAGAGGACTTTTATTTGCTATTTTTTTGTAGCAAATTATTGCAGTCAATTTGAGTATTGATTTTTCCCCGGAGGCAAGAGTGGTGGTGGTGGGGGGATGGGGGGGGGGGGGGGGGGAGGTACTTTTGGCTTAAACCTAGAAAAAGCATTGTATTTCTGAGGCACAAATTCATTACAATTTGCTCATAGTGTGAAAACTAAAAAGTTTGCTAGAGGGAGGACTTTTGTTGCAAAAACTGAAGCATCTGAAAGAATCGGTGGTAAACCTCAAAGGGCTAATATGTCTTGTACGGGGGGAGATTTAACATCTGCTTTGTTTGAATGTAAATATCCTTATGGTTTAAGGGTAAACTTATTGAAGCTGATATACAAACCTTACTTTGACGAAACTTGCAATTGAATATGAGATAGAGTTTCCATCTTCATGTGTTCCGAACGAAGTCATACCCTATCTTGAAGTAACCTTTGGTGAAGTGTTTTTCCATGGAAAGATGTATGTGGACTTTGGAACAGTGTTTGAAGGTGCTGAGGCGCAGGGCGTTAAGGGTCATGCACCTTTTGTGGTCTAGGCGAGGCGATTTTGATGAGTTGCAGCTATAAGGCACACCAAGGCGTAGTTTAAGGTGCACCCCCTTAGGCGCACAATTTTTTTATTTAATGTTTATTATGTGCGTCTTACTTCAATGAGGCGCACCAAGGCACTTAGAGGCGCACCTGAACTCTGAAACGCCTTGATACTTTTTTATACATTGCTTTGGAAGCAATCTCACTCTTTTGTGTCTCCTACATATATTCTAGAAATATTTGGGTTGGAGTTTTTCCTCTGTTTACGTGATTTGGAGGTTATACTGAAATATTTGGGTTGGAGTTTTTCTTCCGTTTAGGTGATTTGGAGGTTATACTGAAATATTTGGGTTTGGAGTTTTTCCTCTGTTTAAGTGATTTGGAGGTTATACTGAAATTGTGGTCTGTTATTTTCTCTTTTAGTAGCTACAGAAGATTCTGAGAATGTTTTTCTTAGCAGCTGAGATCTACTACATATGGGAGGAAAGAAACAAAAGTAGATACTGAGTGAGGAAGTTGCATGATGATGTGCTTGTGAAGGAGCTTGTGTATTGTATTCATATCACAGGAGGTAGTGCAAGCAAGTTGTCTGTTTAGCAGCTCATATAGGAACTTGGAAGAGGACAACTTTAATGTCCTTTTTTGTTTGAATTTTGTTTTCTGAGTGGGAAATCTCTTAGCTAGTCGAAGGTCATAAGTGTATTGATGGAAAGTAACAAAGGAAGATTCTGAGTGGTAATTGGGATAATGATGTGCTGATTTAAACTGTTTTCATATTAAAGTAAGGCATGGCCAGTGTCTATTTGGAAGCTTTTATGGTCTTATAGGGGCAGCTACAACTTTTTATTTTTGTACCTTTTCATGTTTATGACATACTGTGTTTAAAGCTCTTCATATTTTTGATTTAAGACAATTAAGTGCAAGATCAAGATGCAATTTTCTTTGATTAGCAAGGTCATAAGTGGAGTATTTTGTTATAAGAACGTAAGATGGAGTCGTAGGGTTAGTTTGACAATTCAATTGAAGAAAAAACTTGAAAATATAGCAAATATAGTCAGGTGCTTCAAATCATCTATGTAATTGTTGCCTTGTAGGGGAGGAAGTATAGCTGTCTATGATATTGTGAAGTTTAAATTAAAAATAATATTTCATCTCTTAGGTTGTGCAAAGAAATGGAAAAAGTATGTTACTGTAAGAATATCGACGGTGGCTGCGCTTATAATTAAGGTTGAAAGGATATCAATTGTGCGAGTGTCAACACTTATAGTTTCATCATTTCATGAATAGAAGCTTTTCTTTTCATTAATCCCTTTGAAGCATTCTGTGGATCAGCCTAAGTATATCTTTTCCTCGTCTGTTTTCTCCTCCAAATGTTTGATATGTTGGCCAAGGATTGACTAATGCTATGTTCTGACTTGCTTCTGTCTTTGTGTATAAGGGTTTTTTTTTTTTTTTTTTTTTTTTTTGTTTTTTTTTTTTTTTGGGATTATTCCTACATAATTTTTCGTATTGATTATTATCTTTAAAGAGAAAAAAAATCATTTGATGTTTTATTTGAATGTCTGAGGATTTTTTATACCTTCTAATTTTGAAATTCTCATCAAACAATGGACACAGAATGTTTTACCTGTTTTTCAGCTGTACAGATGAAATTGATAGCTGTATGCTGCTATGCTTTACAGTAATTTGTAATAGACTAACCTTAGGAAGGGCAATTTGGGAAGTCTAGTATTTTTGGGTTAGAAGTCTTTGGCCTTAGTATAAATAGGGGATAGAATATGCAGTAGGACATTATGTAAATTGTGAGAAAATATGTTGAGAGAATGGTAACCTCAAGTTACTAGGAGAGTGAATGAGTGATAACCTAAAGTTATCAAGGAGAGTGATAATATACAAACCAAAATTCCAAGCTTTCATCTTATTATCCATATAATACACAAACCAGAAAATCAGTCCATAACATAATTATGGTGACACTGTACAGCTCTAGTTTTGCCAGAATATAGTCACTTTTCAACATAAGTTTTTATTTTATTTTTAATTTTTTTAATTTTTTTTTATAGTTGCTTTGCCTTAGTGATGAAGATTATGTTTTACCTAAGAAATATGTTTAAAGATCTGTTCTTACTGCTCAGAAGTTTCTTGCAGCTTATGTGCTTGGCAGACCTTGAGTTTGATTACATCAACCCATATGACTCTGCAATTCGGATAAATCAAGTAGTTTTGCCAGAATATGTAATCCAAGCAGGACTTACCCTCCTTTTTCTTCTGACGGGTCATTGGATTATGGCACTTTTATGTGCCCCGTACCTCTACTACAATGTCAAAACGTAAGCTTCTTTGCTGCTTTTTTGTTTCTTGTTTTGTTGAAGGGGAGGAAGGGGGGATGCTCTTTGCAACTTTATATTTCAATTGCATTTCACTGTGGCTGTGTAGTATGAAGTTCTTGTTCATTTTGTGTAGCTTCATATAAATGAGTTGTAGCCCTTGTAGGTCACAATTCTTATAATGCTAGCATTTGAGTTGCTATCTTTACAAAAAATAATGGGACAACATGTCAGAAATTGAGTTAACTTATTCTTTCGATCGATAATTTTGCCTTCTCTCCTTCGAGATATTAACCTAGTCTTGGCTTCTGTTATCCTCAGCTTTTTTAAGCAATTTTCAGCAAAAATATTTTTTAAATCTCGGTAAAGATAAGTTGATTTAAGCAAAAGAAATAAGCCAAGTTAGATAGAAGTTCAGCAAAATAAATTCGTTACAGCCTTACAGGCTTACAGCAAATATAAGTTAATGCCTTGGTAGAGGTTTTTGTGGACAATTGGACATTATGCTAAGGGGTTGCTCCATAATGATTTTATTTCTTTTTTCTTTTTCGTTTCTATCCATTAATAATATTACGTTCGGTAACGTGGAAAGTCTAAACCACTTTTAGTGGTCTTGTCAACGTGTAAAACAGACATCCACAGTTCTCACGCCAAAGCAAGATATACAAAATCCTCTATCTATATTTGTTCTCCCATTCTCCACCCTTTTGAGATCAACTCCAATAAATTGTAGGATAAAACTACCTTAGATTCCAGCTTTCTCCCATTCATATGTTTGCTCTTATTTCTCAGTCTTCTACATGTCAATCCCACGACTCTCTTATTCATTCTCATTCAATCATGGCGGGTAATAAAAATGCTGGTATTAAAAATTTACAAAAAAAATGCTGGTAATAAAAATGAGCTCTACATAATGAAGTTGGGATCTCTCTTTGGATTCCAACAATTGAAATATTTTTTAATCAGTTTATAATTTGTCTTACATTTCTGTATTGTCTCATCTGGTAAGATTTTTTGAAGTATTGGTAGAAAACATAAAGGAGGAGAATGTTGAAATCAACATGAAGGAAAATAGAGAAAGGTGACAGTGAGAGAATAAAGCAATTTATAGTCGTTCACTACTTATATTGTTATATGCTGTGAGATGGTTGCTTGCTGCAGATATGCCGATTTAATTGACTAGAAGAATAAATCCTTAAGCCAATGAGTAAATTCTTAAGCAATTTAGGTGTTGTTTGCTATCATTTTCTATGTTTATCGGACTCTCTATTTCATCTCAAGCACCTATTTTAGATCCTCTATATTCTGGTATGGGTATGGACACTTTACACTTCTTTTTGGACCAGTGTCATGGAAGTTTTCTATAAAATGGGTCTTGTACCTGAGTTGAGGTACATAATCTGTGCTTATCTGTAGTAAAACGTATCTGGCTAGATAAAATGTCTCATTATGGGATCAGGCATAGCTTATTAAACCTACCTCCTATTTGGTGATCATGGCTTGCAAGTTGCAATAGACATTACTGTCAACCGTATCAATGTTAAGTTTGATTCGTAACCACAGTGCTGAATATATAATGTTGTGATTCCACAAATACAAGCTTGATTTTAGCTCAACTCATTGCTCTGCATTGTTTAGGTACATGGACAAGAAGCACCTTGTAGATGTGACCGAGATCTTCAATTTGCTAAATTGGGAAAAGAAGAAGCGTCTTATCAAACTTGGATATCTTTTGCTTATCCTGTTCCTCTCATTATTTTGGTAATGACCTTTTGCTCCAGCTTTTGAAATCGTGAATGATCATTTATTGTCAGAAAGTATTTTTTTGGTAATCTAGTAATACCAATAACTAATTAAGCATATTCATTGTCCAATATTTCAGGATGATTTGGACTACGTTGGAAGATGACGAAGAACTCTATTAGGTCACAATTATTTTATTGTTGTCCCTTTCTAAGTCTTGCAACATCAAGACTGAGCTTGCGGCTTCTTCAGGGACCGGGTTTTCCTGCAACTGCTAGTGCTTGAGGCGTTTCTGGATTTGGCTGCTAGTTCATTAGGCACTCACTTCATAATTGATAATGTATTTGGAAATATGTCAAATGATAGATATTCCATACTTTTCTTTTGAAATTAGACTTTCATTTTATATAGATTAATCCCTAGTTTATGAAGCCTTTTTTCCTTCATTTTCTTCTGTGTATTATTGGTTTCTTATTCAAAATTCTATTGTGGTAAATTATTTACTTCACTCGTTTGAGTATTTTGTTACACCATTATGTCCGTCTATTCTCCATTTTGACACCTCATCATCCTTCATTGTCTTGGGCCTTCTTTTTGGTCAACTTATTTCTATTTTTTATAGGAAGTATTTCGTACAAGTCTTTTTTTTGAACAAATATTTCGTACAAGTCTAGATAAGGGTTATGTAATAAGTTCAAGAAAATAATATTGTCGCATTTTTTTTTAAAGATTTTCATTAACAATGGTAAGTTAATTTTTTAAATGGGAGCCTTTCTTTACAACATACAAAGTATAATTTTATACTTAAACAAACTAGTGATCAAATAGAATGTGGAGAGCGAATAAGAAATTTATAAATGTTACTCCCTTCGTCTCTAATTTTTCCCCATTGATAAGATTTGGGTAAGATTTTAAAAAACTTTGACCATACATTTTCATTAATATAGTCATGCGAGATTTTGTTGGATTCGTCTAGTCTATTTTAATAACATATCAAGTTATTATAATTTTCACGCATATGAAAATAGAGATATATACATTTTAAGACGCGTGTCGTAAACCATGAAAAATCAAATGAGGAAAGAAAAAAAAGAAAAAAAAAAAGGACAAACTGTTTGAGCTTTTGCTTTGAATGTTAAAAAAAAAAAAAAAAAAAAAAAAAAACTTTGCAATATTTGGGCTATGAAGCGTTGAAGCCCAACATCAAAATCACATCCTGAATATCTTCACACTTTTATGCTCTCTCATTTAGTTCATTTTCTCTCTCCACTAAAATCTGTTGCTCAATTTGGTATCAATGGCATTGGCAGTATCTCTTCAATCCACTGGTTCTACGTCCTGCCTCCATGCTAGAGCTTCCGTTTCTCCCCATCCTCTCAGGTCTCTCCTCTTTTTCTCTCTCCTCTTTTTTCAATTTTATTTATTTTTTTACTGTAACTCTTCAATTTTTGCAATTATAGTTGCGCAACCAGAGTTTTTATTGGATTAAAGCCCCAATCTTCAAGTAATTCCTCCAAATTTCAGCTTCTTTTTTGTAATTTATATCAATGAATTTAATTTCTGTGGAATTTTTTTTATTTATAATCGATGAAATTGTGTTTCAGGTCTTTTTGGAAGTGCCAGACCTAATTTGACGGTTGATTTCTATGACAAAGTTCACAAGAGTCTACATTACACGTAATTTCCCCTTCTTTTTTGCTTTTTTTGTCGAAAATTTAGCAAATTAATTTATTCACCTATTTTGCAAATTTGATGTAACCGATTGGAAAGATTGCGTAAATTTATTACTATATGTATCACCAATCGATATGGTTGCTAATTTGTGCTTTTGGGATAGTAATGACATTACAAATGCAATTGGTAGAGTACAATAGATTGGATTGTTTTGAATTGTTCATCAATGAGGATCACATTGTGATGTTTTGTGGGAAATTCGCTTCTGTTTGACGTGTAAAATTAATTGCTGTGTTGCAATACCCAGCGTACTTAACAATGTTGTTCGAACTTTGGATGTACTTTTCAAAGTCCTATATCCAAAAGTTTGGATGGATTACATGATATGATACAAAGGTTTGGATGGATTACTTGATATGATACATGTGAAATACTTAGTCCACCTTTATGTATAAACCTCATTCGTGTAATGTAGTAATCCATATATGTGAATTACTCACTCCGCTTCTAAATATAAACCCCATTCGTTCAATTTGAGCATATATTTAGTAAAGGTGTATAGAAAATAAGATTGTGGGTTTAGTTGATTGAAGGTGAAGCGTGAAGAAACCAAGAAGAAAATGGGGCTTGGTTGATTAAAGGTGGATAAACGTATACAAATAGAAGAGAAATGAGAATTTAAACAAGGACAAATTCTTATAGTGAAATGAGGTAAAAAGGGACAAGATCTTTTAGTTAAGTAAAGATAGGTACTAAATCTTGTAGTGAAATGAGACTCTTATTAAAGGACAAAAAGAAACTTGTACATGTTACCATTATCTTAAATGAATTAAAAGTATTGCAAAAGTTTATCGCTTGCTTATCCCCCATGACGATTAGATTAATTGTGCTATCTTATTTGTATCAATATTATAGTAATGTCATGAAGAGTTATGTGTTAATACCCTTTGTTTATAGGATGAGAGTCATGAGACATATTTATATTTTTGTTTCAGGTGTAATACTAAACCAACACGAGGAAGGGTCAATATGATGCCTATTGGAACACCCAGAGTACCTTATAGAACCCCTGGTGAGGGAAGTTGGCAATGGGTGGATTTATGGAATGCCCTTGTATGTCTTCAGAACTTCACTTTATTCCTATAACTTAAGGGTTTCTCTTGTGTTAAAGAAGTTAGGAAGAATGATTTGTGTTGTGTAATGTGTGTTGCATCTCATCATTTCACCATTCAGAAGTTTTGTTACTTAGGTCTGATATTTCTTGACTATTCTAGTATATCTTTCATCATTTGTGATGATAGAATTTGCATCCCCAATCAAGTAATGTCAGTCTTTTGCACACATTTTTAGGGGGTGAATAAAAATTGAGATAACTGGGTTTGATTGATTAAAATTGAATAAGAAAAGAAGATAGTGGGGGTTTGGTTTATAACTAGGTAGTTCAATAACAAATAAAGGTGAAATTGGACTCAGGACAAGATTTTTGGGTGAAATTGTTATCTGAAGACAGAGAGAGTACATGTATCCATCACAAAATTTGTACTAATCATATGTATGTATGAGAATTGTACCATAGGTTTCCCAGGTAGTAAAATGGAAAGAAAAGCTTTTGTAATAAATATCATTGTTTCCAGTTCTCTATTATTTACCTGTATCCTTTTATTTACAGTACCGTGAGCGTGTCATATTCATTGGGCAACATATAGATGAAGAATTCAGCAACCAAATACTGGCAACCATGTTGTATCTGGACAGTATTGATGATGGCAAGAGACTTTATATGTACATCAATGGTCCTGGTGGGGATGTGAGTTTTGTTCTTGCCAAATATATAGAACTGGTTGTTTAAATATATAGTTATTGGGTTTGACGTCTCACTCATTTTGAGTTCGGTGGGTGCTTGTTGCAGCTAACACCAAGCTTGGCAATTTATGATACAATCGCGAGCTTAAAAAGTCCTATTGGCACGCACTGTGTTGGTTATGCCTATAATCTTGCAGGATTTCTCCTAACAGCTGGAGAGAAGGTAATAATTTTCTGTTCCTCCTGTTTAGACAATTGTAACCTTTTATCTTTATCATGATGCAGGATCATCTAATGTATGGCAATGAATCAATTCGGTTTCTTTTTTTTTTTCCTTCCATCTGAATTTTTTTTTTTCCTTCAATCTGAAATTCAGAATATATTAATGTTCAAGCATCATATGTTAATTTTCCAACTCAGAAAATTCATGATTTAAAAGAACTGGTCTTGCAGCTGTTCTGAAGACCTCACAGAATCTGAGAAGGCCCTGTATTCCTATTTATATGCGATATACTATCAAACGTTTTTTGTTGCTCAAACATGATCTAGTGATTTGTAACTATCCCTAAAATTAATTCAGGGTCAACGTTTTGCAATGCCTCTTTCAAGAATTGCACTGCAATCTCCTGCTGGGACTGCTCGTGGCCAGGTATACCTGCATCATATTTATTTTGAAGGTGTTCTTTCCAAGGGACAAGTGGTATACCCTTTTGCTGCTTACATTTGTCGTTTTGCAGGCTGATGACATCCGTAATGAAGCTGATGAACTTCTTCGGGTCAGAGATTATCTCTACAGTGAGTTGGCTAAAAACACAGGTCAACCAGTAGAGAAGGTACACCAACTTCTTCTTAATTTACCTGTTTTTACAGATGATATATGAAAGACCACAACAATGACCGAGTGCACATCCTGCTGTATGATTTCTGTTATCTTTCTGAAAAGCGTGTTGCTTGCCCTGTGCAGGTTCACCAAGATTTAAGTCGGGTGAAGCGTTTTAATGCTCAGGAGGCTCTTGAATATGGACTCATTGATCGTATAGTGCGGCCGCCTCGGATTAAGGCCGATTCACCTCGGAAAGATTCAACAGCAGGTCTTGGTTAGTGTGTGTTGTCAAGCAATGTAGTTATCCCTGTTGCATATCTGTTTTGTGTTACCAATCGGATTTTGTGGATGATGTTTAGTTATTAATGAATTTGCAATGTATATCTCGTAATTCAAATCTTTCAAGAGTTATAGTCATTTTTTTGTTGGATAATACATCCTTGTCTTCCTCTTCCTTGCATAATTTATTAATCAATTGATTAGGACTTGGACATGGGTTTGAAATAACTGGCTAATATATGTGCACTCTTGTCGCGTGATTGTTGTTAGCCTGCTAAGCCATCATTAGAGCCCTCATCTACCAAGGGTACTATCACGACCAAAGCCTATGTTAGCATGCATTGTCATCTAGCTGGCATCATTAGCTGACTCTAGGTCTATGCCTCTTTCGGTCATTGATGCATCCACTCCCCCAACCCCCTCAAATCAGCTGTGTTTTGTTTCTCGGGGGTTAGGCTGTTTTGTTGTTTAATTCAAAGTTAAGGCATCATTGGCTTGGTCAAAATAAACTAAGGCCCTGTTCTTTTGAGCTGAGCTGTTCTGCTTTGCCCTGTTGCCCTGCCCTAGTCTGCTGAAATCTGATCTGATCTGCTCCTTAAAAATAATTAATTATAATTAATATTTAATAAAAATAATAATAATTATTAATATTTAGTAATAATAACTAATATTTATAGATAATAATAATCAATATTTTATAATAATAATAATTAATTGATAATATTAACTAATATTTAATGATAATACTGCTTAAAAATAATAATTATTAATAATAATAATTAATATTTAATAAAATAATAATAATAACTGTTAATATTTAATAATAATAACTAATATTTAAAGATAATAATAATTAATATTTTATAATAATAATAATAATTAATATATAATATTAATTGATAATAATAAATAATATTTAATTTAAAAAAAAGAAATCAAATAATAATAATAATAATAAAATAATGTGATAACAACAATAATTTGCCCTGCTTTGCTGAAATCTGCTGTGCGCCCTGCCTTGCCTTGCGTTGTTTTGCTCTGCTGTGCCTAGAAGCTCAAAAGAACAGGGCCTAAGCTATGCTTAACAAGATAATTACTTGGACTGCAGTGATGGTTGAACAATATTTTTTTTGTTATTTTTTTTAATCGATTCCCCTTATACCCTTATACAGAGTATATTTTACTTGAACTCAGATATTCATGTCCTACACGGTAGAGGTGTCAAATCGGGTACCTAGATGGAGTTTGGGTTGATCCACGACGGATCGGGATGGGTTATATTAATCTAACAAACCAAATTAAATCGGGTTAAGCTTAGTTAGATTCGGGTTAAAGTTGACTTCAAGCATGGTCGGATACAAATCAAACTTAGGTCAAGTCAAATTCGGGTCGAGTCATATCGAGTTAAGATGAACTTGGCTTTGGACTTTATCGGGTTTATTTGGGTCAATATAGATTTATTTGACTTTGGAACGGGTCATTTTGAATTTAATTAGATTTCGGTTCAAATCAATTCAATTTCGATTAAAATTTGAATCTAGTTACTTCGATTATTAGCTCATTCTTAGTTAAAATTACTTTAGTTTTGGTTTTGAGTCGACTAATTTGAATTCAGATCCATCTAAGTTTAAGTCGTTTTAGCTACATTAGAATACATGTCATGTCATTTTTGTTATTGGAGTTTTTCATTCATACATAGTGTTTTGGGTTTCATTTAATTAAGTTTCATATTGGCTTATTAGAATTGTTATAAGATTGACAACTCAAATTATTACTGAAAATGACTATTTATCGCCTTGATCGGTGATTATCGCATCATTGTAAAATATCTTTTTCCTTACCGTTTTGCATTTATCGCCGTCTTTGCGGCTATTTATCGTCGTCAATTCATTGACAACTTGATTATTAGAAGTATTAAGATTGTTTATTATATTAGCATCTAAATCGTGATTAAGAATACAAGATTTTCAAATTTTAGTAATGTTTGAATTTCTTAATGAAGTTATACCTCTTCATTTCGTAATAATTGCAACACATTTATTTTACGTTGGTTTCATAATAATTCTAACACCTTATTTAGTAAGGACACATTATGTTACTTGAGTTTGACGTATAACTAAAATAAGTTTTAATAAGGTTCATAAAGGTTATCCGAATTTAAATAAATTATAACTAAAATAAGCTATAATAAGGTCTAATAAGTTAAAGTATGTTCAGATAAGGGTTTGTTCAATTCATCTTATTTTCTCTTATATCAAGACTATAAGTTCAGATAATATCATATAATTTTAGATAGGTTTATACAAATTCAGATTAGTTAAGACAAATTCAAATTGGTTCAAATAAATTCAGATAAATTTGGGTAATTTCGGATACCTTCAGAAAAGTTTAGATAATTTTTGAAATATTATTAGTTCAAATAATTTATGATAAATTAAGATAAGTTTAGATAATTTAATTTCAGATAAATTCGGATAAGTTCAGATAAATTAATATAAGTTCAAATTATTTCTTATAATTCAGAATTTCAAATAAATTAAGATAGGTTCAGATTGATATGAGTTCAGATAAATTCAGATATGTTTATAAATTCAGAGTTGTTTATATAAATTCAGATAAGAGAAAATTAAGTTAAAATAAATTCAGATAAGAGAAAATTAAGTTGAAATATATATATATATATATATATATATATATATATATATATATATATATATATATTATGGTATAATGATAATTTAAGATTGTTTGACATAAGAATACTAAAATCATGGACTAATATATCCATCATTGTACCGTCTGTATAATGTTGTCTCCATTCAAACACTCTAATTGCTTTGCCGCACCACTCTTTATTTCGAGTCGGTTTTAATTGGGTCATGGGAAGTTTCAAATCGGGTAATTAAAGGTTGGGTAAAAAGAGGTATATTTCGGGTCTAAATGGTTTCAGGTAGATTTCGTTTCGGGCTAGATCGAATTCGAATTTTATATTATCGGGTCTTATTGGTTTCAGATTAAATATGAGTCGATTCCAAGTTGGGTTTAGATCATAAATTATCGGGTGGAATCGGTTTCGAGATAACGTCGGATCGACTCCAGATCGAATTCGGATAAAAAATACCCGGGTCCAACTAGTTCGAAAGCAGCTCGGATTTAGGTAAACCTTTCGGATCGGGTAAGTTTTTTACACTCCTACTACACAATCAACACAGATACTAGTCCCTGCTATTTTTTGAAGAATTTTCATAATTTTGGTCTAATATGAAGTTTCCAAGTGTTCTATCTATGTCTAAGTGTTTATGGTCCAATATGAATATTGAGGTGAAATGAAGAACGAAAATTTGTTAGAAAGGACTTTTTTAGAGGTCGACTTCATGAGAAAGGACTTTTATAGAATTCCTCGATTTACGGGTTGAAATAATTGTTTGGTTAAGAGTTTGGGAGTAAAAAAGTGGCAAAATATTACTATAAATGTCTTGCTTTGTGTGCTAAAAAATGTATCGGTTTGCATGTCATTATTTCTAATCATAAAATTACTTGTTTTAGATTTTGGGGGTCATTTTAGTACAGAGTCTAATATGAATTCAAAGTCATAAAAAATTAATATAAATGTCTAGTAAAGATGTACCATACAATGTAGGTAGTAAAATACTTCATTAGTTCCAAATGACAAACAAAGAGATCTGATAGCTAGCAACCTAGCCAGCAAAGATTTACAAAATATTAAAAAAAATTAATGATGCAAAAATTAGTATATGTATACAAAGAACTAAAAAAAAAAATACTCCTACTAAAAAAATACTCCTACATGTACGTATCCCAATTTTATTAGTAGTTCATCACGTTGTCCCTAATCCATTCTTCCCTCCATCCATTATCACTGTCGTCGTCATCATCCTCGTCGTAACCATCGGATCCATTATCACTGTCGACATCATCATCAGAACCACAAGAATAATCTTCATAACTATCTTCACCGTACGATTCGATGTCAATAATTAAGTGTTCACGCTCATTATCACAATCATCATCAGTACTAGCACCGCAAACATTCTCGGAAACCGACGGCGTATTGCCGTGGTTGTCGTCCGAGTTGCGGCCGCTGTTCCATCCATTGAGTAGAATAACAATAACAAGTAAAAAGTTAAATAGCAAGTGAATGTAGAAACGATTATCTAAAAACAAAAGAACAATTTGACGAATGATCGGAAACAAAAGGGTTAACTTTTGCACTATTTAATTGACCTACTTCGACTAATGAATTCATAAGAAATAATATAGGGCCGTGGATGGTTATTGGGATTGTTATAATATGTATTAAAAGAAATAAAGAAATTAGGTGAGATTGAAATTTGATGGTATTGATATTTTTAGAATTATTTTTTATATGTTTGTGTGTTTTTTTTAATGAATGATAATCTGATTTTTGTGGGAACTTATATACAGTAGCATACATATTTGAATATTCGAAGAAAAAAAAAAACTCAAAGAGTATTTAACAATTACAATAATACGAAGTGTTTAATTATGATGGAACCACATCGGAGAGTTCGTGGAAAATATAATGGTCAAGTGCAATGCAAAATAGTAGTTTGCATAAAAAACAAGTCCATTAGACTTTTGACTTGGTAGAAAATATAGGGTATCAAATCTAAACCTTTTTTTTTATTCGTCATCTTGATATTCGATTTGATTGGGTCCAATACGAATTAAAATTCGATTTTGAAAATTTGAGTCCGATCGGATATGATTTTCAAAAATCAAATATTGGCATGTATATATGTCCTAAACTCCTAATATCGTCATTATTTTATTTTCTTTTGGATTATTGCATTTAGACCTAGTTTTTATTTATAGTAGTTTACGGATATAAATATTTCTACTCTCTAATTTTTTTTATTATTTATTTTGTTTTGATAATAATGATATGTTATGGAATGGGGTATAAACCGTATAATGAGACCTGGTAATGAGTAAATGAGAACTCGCCTGGGAACCAATTTATTGGATTGTTTTGAAATTATTACTTGAAGTGCAAATAACCAGTAAAGTTAATCGTATTTTTTTGAAGTAAAAACATTTTTGTACAAAACTTTATAGTAGTAGATGATTTTGTTTAAGTTTTGATGAACAAAACACATTTCAAATAGTAGCAT